ATGCATACAAACACAAGGCAGGGAAAGCATTGTGATTAGAGCTGTTAAAGTAGCCTGCACTTTGGGGATAAAACTTGAGCAAAAAGTCACATTTTTTGCTCAAGTTTTCTACTGAAAAAAGCTTTAATAATCACCTACTATGATTTTAAGGAATTCCCCCAGACAAAGCCTTCCTCTTGTCTGGCCTGCGCATGTTATTACACTCAAACCCCACCAGTCAGTTCAGCCTGAAAGGAAATTAGCTCATCAGCAGACTGACGCAACCCTCATGCAAAGATAACTAGAGGAGAGAAAGGCAGACGCTGTGTCATTCCCTCTGCTCCACACAGCCCATTAAACATGCCTTATTAGGACATCTGTAGCCGATAGTCATGCTGGCATGATGCTGCTTTTTGTTTTCTGGTTTCTTTTGCCAGCCGCTCATGACTTCCTTCAGACACTCATGTGATGTGTGTGAAGGTCGGGTCACTTGGCCACTCATCATGGGACTTTGGCCGAGTGGGACGTGCTGTAGAAAATTAAACAATAACACTGAAGGTGCTTTTACGGTAAAGGCAGATAAACAACTAGTTTCCCGATAAGTAAATATTATTGTGGAGCACCTTCATGTCAGTGTCCGGTTAAGTGTTTTTGGTACACTTCTCTTTCTGTAAGCTATTGGCAAATATCCCATCTGTGCTATCAATCTGCATTAAATTACCCCCTTTCACTCGCAGGGTTTTATTTAGAGACCTCATATTTCTATTCCGCTGATAACACCTCCAGCTTCCCTTTTTCATCCCAGGTCTGTGCATTGCTGAAGATACATTCCCTGTCCACTTTTAGCCCTGAGAGCAGGTGGAAACGGAGGTCAACTGAGTTTACAGAAAACAAAGATTTACGCATTAACCAGTGGCGGCCGGCCCATAGGGGCGCTAGGGGCGCCGCCCCACCTCTTCCCACATTAAAAATATATTAAAAAAAAAAAAAATTATTTTATTATTTTAATTTATTTTTAATGAACAAGGTCAATATTATATAATTGGTATCAGTGAAATGTATAATCTACAATAAAATATCGTTTAAAATTGTGTTACGATGTCTAAAGTTACCGATAAGTCACATGTTTCCTGCCTGGCGTTGCCCGTGTATCATTGCCCTTTCTCGTCTGGGCGCTAAGAGAGGAGCCCTCAACCAGTGCAGCAGCATCCACTAGCAGCTGACTGTTGCTATCTGTAAACTATGCCTCCGAAACATAATTTCAGCCAATCAGCGTCGTCAAATCTGATGATCACCGGGCGCCAATGTCAGCGCCCGGTGCAGGGTTATGGCTAGAAGGATCCGTCTTGTGGAAAACTCTCGCGAGAGTTTGCGAGGCACGTGGCTGAATGTTTACGTTTGACAGGCAGCCTTTCAGTTACGATCGTTAACATCAGTGGGCCACAGCAAATGATGGTGAGAAGCTAAACTATCTATTAATTAATTAATTAAGTCAATTACAGGGAGTGTGATTGTAACTGTGTGTGTGACTCTGGATGCAAACAGGTAAACGCTGTCTTTTGTTTCCCATGCTTGCTCTTCAAACAGCCGGGGACAGATACTATGTGCATGTAAATAAACACACACACACACATGTTATTGTAGTTGAGTTTTGACATCCATCAAACGATATGTTTTGCCTTAATGGTCTGTTTTCTAATATTTCTGTGTTTCTGAACCACGTCTGTGTCTGCATATAATGTTCGTATTTAGTCTCCTGATTTTAAATGGGAATTCAATCATTTGAGTGTTCCCAAAGAACCAGTGTTCTGCAGTTTGTGTGGGCCTACTGTACTGTTGCACAGTTTACTGTAGAAACTATGTCCAGGACACGGTGTTTGGAAGTTTTGGAAGATTCATAGCTTACCACACTGAAGATTATGGAGGTATTGATCAGTCTTCTCATATCTCTAACATCACCAGAAGTCATCATTTAAGGGGTCATTTCTCAAAATTTTCCCCGTGTGGTTTATTCACCATTATAATAGCCCCACCTAAAATAATTTCCACCAGCCGCCACTGGCATTAACCTGTTGCTGTTATAAACATTACTTTTAAATAGTTTTAAAATGGAATAATATCGCTAAAAGCCTTTGGGCTGCAATTGTTAAACTGTCTTGTATACTTTTAGACAGGTAAGCATACAGATTAGCGCTTCCCGATATAGACCTATAAAAGCTTGAAGCATAAACTTTCTATTTTGTTTGTTGTTGCTGATATCAGCAGCTGGCAGGAGGTTAAACTGGAGTCAGGCAGTTCCCAACGAAAAACGACACTAAAAGGCTCGATAGAAAATACAAACCAAAGGATTAAAAAGCCACAGCTGCTTTGTGAGGCTACATTTATAAGCACAGTTGAGCTAAATGCTAATGCGAGTAGTGTTTACTACAAACATGTTATATGCTAACTTCTAGCATGTAGAATGTTCACCTTTGTAGTTTAGCATGCAAGCTATCGTTAGCTAATCAGCACTAATGATGCATTCTCGCCGATAAATGTTAATTCTCCTGTTAAACTATGTATTATTTGTTTCTCTCTTTGGCTACTTTCAGGCTCTGTCAAATGATTACAGATGATTTATTTGAAATAAATGCTCTCACATTCTAAAAATACTCTCTTGGCATGTATCTGTTGCGTTGAAGCTTTACCTAGCCGACACCCTCTTGTGTTCCCAGACCCCAAACAGTAAACAAACAAAAGGCTGTACATACGATCCACAAATTCCAGTATGTCCACAAAACCGGCAGATTGGGAAATGCACGTAGCGCATCTTAACTTCAAACACACAGAAGCATATAACTGAAGCAACATCCTGAGGAAATCGCCTCTCCTCTAAAGCTTCACTGTACCGAGACATCAAAGCTCAGGCTGCAGCCACAGAATGGGATGTGTGTGTGAGATTACATTGGGATTTAAATGGCAATAACGCTCCTCCAAAGATAAAAATCCTCTCAGAATATCATGATTTCACACTTTATGAGTTGTTTTTTTTGGCATTTAAGGGTACCAAATGGAGCCACCTTGCTTTTCTCTTTCTCCTTCTTCAGTAATTTGCTCAGATTGGATTCCTTTGACTATAGACGAATAACAGGAAAACCTGACAGTGAGGCCAGGCGATACAATGAACCCCCATCGATGACTTCTCCGAGTAACAGCCATTTCCTTCAGTGAAACCAGACGCCTGTAGTACTTGTTCAGGAAAGGAGTTAGCAGGAAGTGGGTAGAGACCTGGATTTACATGACTGAATCCGGTCACTTTCGCTGGAAGAGCAGCTATAGTAACTTGATTGGATCAAACACAAAGAAGCATCGACATTAAGACTCTCCTACTGTTTTACGAGAATATCAACGTCCTGTAAATGTTGTGTTCTTCTAAACAACAGCCTTGTCATATTACCAATACATAATCAAAAGAGGGGCCAAGTCCCGCCCCTTTCCTGGGGACCGCCATTGGTTCTTATCTGGGCGCAAAACGTATGGTAGTCAAATTTGAGAGACTAAGTGCAGTTAGTCCTAAAACTGTGGATAAATAAGACCTTAAAAAAAAACGTGATTTGAAAGAGCAGCTGAAGCTAGGCTGCCTGTGTGTTTCCTTTTGGGATAAACTCACACGAGCAACAGTTATTTTACTTCTGACTGGCAGGATAAAACCCATGAGTTAAGATAATGTGAAATTTTTGTGCGAATGTAGATATGTTACCTAGCTAGCTAACACGGCAAGGTAAAATCTGCATTGGTAACATATATTTACCAACAGAGATTTAGTTCAGCAGTTATACATACTACAACAAACTGAGGCTTTCTTGATGTACAGAACTATATTTTAAATGTACAAACATCATACTGTATGTAAAGCAGGAACCACTTCACCTCTATATGAACTAGTGACCCCACACACTTACTGCAACTCCAGCATTTGTTACGACATCCACTGAGTCGTAGGTGTTGTTTCCTAATGTACTTTTCAAAATAACAAAACGTAATCACAGTCAAAATCAAGACACATATCCGCCCAGGATTGACAGATAAGATGCAATGCAGCCTTCTGTGTTTACTTGAACCGTATAACCTTTAACACACTTGGACAGAAACAAACTGCTCCTCCTATCATGCTCTCTGTGTTTGAGAACAGTGTAGTCGACCCATAAATCTGCATTCCTGTTTTCGTATCTGCACACCTCATCCAGCTTCGCTTCACAGGTAGAAGCTCTGCTGGAACAGACTGTATTGGTGTCTGTGGTATTCGAGTAAACAACAACAGAAATGTATTTTCTTCCTTTATTTTCTCTTTATGTTGATTTTATTTGTTAGTACCAAAAAGGCAATGGTGCTTTAACATAATATTTAGACAATTAAAATGTATCAATTACTTATTATAATTGTCTTTATGTATGTTGGAACACATAATCTGGTTTGACCTTAAATCTGTTTTGTACTGAGGTCAAGTCAGAACATTAACATGCTCACAAGAACTTTTTAGTCGACGTAATAAAAAAAAAATATATGGGTATAATGTACAGTGTCTGAGTTAAGTATGTTAGCATACCTACATTTTCTATTAAGCACTAAAGTACAGTCGTTTTTTTAATGCTAGCAATGTAGTTAACAAGTGATTGACAGTACAGGTTATTATGAAATGTTGTATGTCTTGACTTAGCACTGTAAGAGTCGGGAGGAGCTGATAATTTATTCCGGCAAATTACTCAGACCTACTAATTGACCTAACCGAAGTTATTGAGTCTGTGTAAGTTTACTGGTTGGCTCAGATCCACCAACGTCAGTAAGATCTCACCTCTATTAACTCCTGAAGAACCAGGTTCAATTAACTGCTGTTTCAATTCAGACAACTCTCTTAAATCTGTTTAAGCGATCCCGAAGGATTTTGATATCAGTAAATGAGGTGTGGCCCTACCTAAGCGTGAGTGTGGCAGTGTGCAATCTTACCTTTGAAGCAGGAGAGGAGAGCGCAGATGTCTTTTAAGTTGTCCCAATCCAAAAGGTGGGATCAGTTTATTTGAAGAAAAATAGGTCCAAACGTATACAGGGTTTTTACCTTCTCTCTCTTTACAACATTATAATCATACTAAACATATCATGCTGGGGTTATTTTCTAATCTAAAACCTTAATTCATAGTTCACCCATTAAAGTCTTCCGACAAAATCCAAAAGAATTTCCTCGTGGTGACGAAGGTTCTCTAATTAGTTCTAAAATCCTGACACATTTAAGAATGGTAGGTTTAAGAATTCCAACTCATTTAAGAATGATTGGTTTAAGAATTCCAACACATTTAAGAATGATTGGTTTAAGAATTCCAACACATTTAAGAATGATTGGTTTAAGGATTCCAACACATTTAAGAATGATTGGTTTAAGGATTCCAACACATTTAAGAATGATTGGTTTAAGGATTCCAACACATTTAAGAATGATTGGTTTAAGAATTCTAACTCATTTAAGAATGATTGGTTTAAGGATTCCAACACATTTAAGAATGATTGGTTTAAGAATTCTAACTCATTTAAGAATGATTGGTTTAAGAATTCCAACACATTTAAGAATGATTGGTTTAAGAATTCTAACTCATTTAAGAATGATTGGTTTAAGAATTCCAACACATTTAAGAATGATTGGTTTAAGAATCTCGTTCAAAACTTTCATCTAAACCATTCCCTCAGCATTCAATACACAGAGATTTAAGCAATAGTTACCAAGTTCGAGAGAACCTTACAGAGAGCAAAAACCCAGCTCTGAGGGACAGAGCTTTTACCGGGAGAGAGTATACCAGGGGCCATATTCTATGGCTATGACATAACCAGAAGCATTATCATTATGGGTTTATACAAGAATATGATTGATCATATTTGATTTATAATTAACTTTCGTTTTAAGTATTCACTTGATATGGAGATCTCAACAGCACTCATAGCACTGGTTGTAATGGTGCCAGGAACCGATTGTGTTGTGGTTCTTAGCTCCAGTAGAACTAGAACAAGTCTTCACTGTTTACAAGCCTATAGCTGTAGGTTTACATCAATAAATGCCAATCATATCTGATTTACAGAGGTTTAGAAAAAGGGAACTGGGCATAAAACATCTCTACAACGGATGGGAGGGAGCTTACAGTACATTGTGTCAATTTACTTCCTTAATTTGTTCGCCCTGCTTCCAACAATAGCAGTGTTACATCCCTGTTCACATGTTCCACTATGGCAACCTCAACAGAGGTCAAAACCCTGTGAAAATATGAGTTAAACAGATAACTCAGTAAACCTTAGTGGGTTTTTATAGATAATCTCATCAACAAACGCTCCACTTTCTCCCTGTCTGCCACTCTCTCCTGTTTGATTAAAGGTACAATCTGTGATATTTCTCTCTAAATCCCCTCTCAGTTGAGCTGTTGTGTCATGAGGTGTTGCTCTCATGAACCTACTATTTCCCATCACCTTGCCCATTGCTGCACTCAGAGATTGTCTTTGTTTCCCCACAATGACTTGCAACAACCTCTTGAGACTTGGCTGGTTTCAGTCACAAGTGCTGTGAAGGCATTTGAATGAATGGCTGCCAATTAGTTTCTGAACAATTGGGTGTGTCTGTAATAGAGCCCATTATCTTAACAGAACTCTGATTAGAAGAGATTGACATTTGAAATTGGTGTTTTTTTTCTCTCAAAGAACTCAGATTGTTCTGCTCAAAGAATATAATCAAAGCTACTTATATTAAAAACCATTGCTCCAAATGGTTATGATACAATGCAGAAGTTTTAAGCAGGACAGACTAGTTTAAATGTCAAGGGTTCCATGATACTAAATATTTTATTGATAAAACAAGTGTCCATTTTATGGTGGTGGTACTAACCACCATAAAAGTAATTTCCATTAGGACACCTCTTATAATATAATATATAAATATCTCACTCAAAATGTGGTGTTTATCCAGTAGATATTGATATTGTTGCATAATTTAACCATGTATATATTGGTTAAGTGTTCACTCACTGAGTTTAGCATGATCAAACCTACCTATCACTTAGTACAGCTCATGGAAATGTGCTTTCTGATCATGCTAGCCACCTAGGCCAAACATGTATTATAAGTTGTTGATATTTCACTGAAAAAGGGAAAAGTTTCTATCTAAAAAGTAGTTGCTAATTAGCTTCAATCTAAATGTTGGTGCAGGAGAAGTACAGAGAATAATTAAAGTCAGTAGGGTTTATCCTCTGGGAACCATCCACGTCTACGAAATGTCCAACCAATATTTCCAGAGTATCTTTTTTGCATACAATATTTCTTATTCAATACAGCCTAAACACAAAGTACATTTGTGTTTTCTTAAATAAACAGTATGTGTTTTAGTTGGGAGTTAAACCTGTAAAGTCTGCACTTCTTAAGACAGGGGTGTCCAAACTACGGCCCAGGGGCCAAAAGCGGCCCGCGGTCCATTTTGAAACGGCCCTTAGCTAATTCAAAAAGTATAATGAAATATGCCCCACAAATTAACTTGTGCTTGTCATATATTGTACTTCTTGAATATATATGTAGAAATATATTACACCGTATTCATGTCTTAATAAGCCCACTTTTCACATAAATTCTGTAAATTAAAGTTGGAAAATGTTTAAACAAATCTCAGTTGATTAAAAAAAGCCCAATAACTTATTTACATACCAACCTTGAAATCTACCCTTCATGTTTCCTCTTTTTATAAGCAATCTGAGGCTTCTGTTTTAAGGACTGAGCTGTGGGACGAATAAAGGTATTCTGATTCTGATTGTAACTAAATAAAGTAAACCCTCTGGAGAGCTGGGATTTAGGCTGTTGTGTTTCTTAAAGCATTTTCAAGTATCAAACATCATACATTTGATTGATTTTGCTAACTTATAACTTAACTTATGAGGCAATATAGCTCTCCTCTAGTGAGCCCTTCGTATTTTCTTTCTGTATGTGGCCCTCATTGAAAAAAGTTTGGACACCCCTGTCTTAAGAGCTGCAGCTGCACGCCTGCGTATGCTACAGTTTGGATGCTGACTCGCTGTTATTGTGAGACACGTCAGGAGGGTGGGAGCCTGATGTCTGAGATGGTCCATTATGTCACCGGGGCCCCAAGAACAGTTACAGTGTGTCCCGCTATAGGCTCTGAGGCGAGTGTGACGTTCAGAACTTAACTGCTGTTGGGCCAAACCCAGGAGAAACAGGGGCCCTACTGTTTCTCCACATCAGGCACACCCAGCCACACACACTTAGACGCATACACACATGGAACCGTTCAGACTTTTCCCTCTGCCACTGTTCAAAATGCCCCCAGAATAAACACTTGAAGCAGATCTGAACCAGGGAGGCCAGCGATCCCCATTAGAGAGGGGCTCTGACGCAATGTGGAGGTAATGAAAGGTAGTGGGTTTCAGATGTTTCCTCAAGCCTTGTTTTCGACTTGTAGCAGGTAATGTGAAACTTTCAGTTGGTGGAGCATAGCGTCATGGGCTTGTGAAATGATGACAACTCTTATATTGTCATAAAAAACCTACATTTTAATCCTTTTGATTAGTTATGTTAATGCAAAATCATCCTCTCTACTATTCATATCATGGGTCACACACAAAATGTGGATGACAGCTTTGGGAACATTTCTGATGCTTTATTTGAGTAAATAATTATCCAAAAGGTTAATTGATAATAGAAAAATAGCTGTCTATTGACCCTCTACTCTTATTTTAGAACCTTAACCCTAACCCCAAGGTAAATATCCAATTATATTTTGTACGTATACAAAATAATACCATATTGGAGACCCAATGTATTGTCAAATATTATATATCAATCCCACAGATCTTTCAGGCTGAATATTTTGGGGTAATTTTGTATTAGATGTTGCGCAACAAATATATTTATATTTTAAGGAACAATGATAGCCATGGAATCTTGAATATTTCACTCAGTGTAAACGTCATATTCTTTTCAATAAAGAGCAGATACAACACAGTGTAAAATGAGTTGATATAACCCCTACTTCAGGTGACATACACACCGTGTTAGAAAAAGTATTCAGATTCTTTATTTGAGTAAAAGTACTGATACCACACTGTAAAAATACCCAATTTCAAGTAAAGTACTGTTTTGAGAATGGTGCCATAACTGAGTAAATGTACTCATGGCAGCAAAAACCAAAATACAATAAAAAATGTGAAAGCAAAGGCAACACCTCTTCACATTTAAGGAGCTGAAACTGTAAAATACGTATATCAATGTAGTGGAGTAAAACCAACAAGATTGGCTTCCAAAATGTAGTAGAGTAGAAGTATAAAGTAGTATACAATGTGTATGCACTTGAGTAAATGTACTCAGTTACTTTCCACCATTGAAAACTATGATAAAGGGGCATTTAAATATGTACATGAAGGAGGTATGCCATACATCTTCTTTTGAAACACCCATGCCAGTAAGTGTTCATTGTTATCCACCCTATCATGTACTGTAAATCCCTTTTCTATTGTAAATCATCCCTCCTTTCCCCCCTCAGAACAACCAGCCTCCTCTCTGCTCTGACTTGGCTCTGACACCAGCGCTCGTCCACGTGTGTGACGAGCCCGCGCCTACACTCTTTTAAAAACGGTTGTCGCGCTAGCGCTCACATTCATTCAACTCACCGCGAGCAGAGAAATGAGAGCATGATCCAGCCTGCACATAAACTCATTTAAACATCTATTTACGCAAGACGAACACTGAACTCACGGGACAACCGAAACCGACTCGGTTAATCGATTATTTCTTTCAACAATAAGGACTTTTCAAGCTGGTTTTGCGTAAAAGCGTGCAGGATAGCACACTTCCACCTGCCCAGTTTCAAAACACCAGGTTCACCTGAGACGCTAAAGGACATCGTTTGCATGAAACTGTGGCCAGGTAAGATACATTTTTTTTAACGTTTTTAAATCGACTTTTTCATAGGTAAAGGTGAAATGCACTCAGAAATGTAACAGGTTTTTTGACAGTTTGGCTCTTACACCGGGGTTCGCCAAACCACATTAAAAAATCAGCCAATTTAAAGTTATCTCGCCTATTTCTGCAACTATACAGCACAGTATATCTTGTTTATTAGATGTAGGTAATCAGTAGGCTCTTTTGGTTAATTCGGCATACAAAGAAGGAGAAAATGACCAGAAAAAAAAGTTTGGAGAAATAATTTGCCATTGCTCAATCAGTATTTATATATTTTGGATTGGGTTTACCTTAATTCCTTGTTTGTTGCTTTGTTTCATCTAAATAATCTCAATCTCAATACCTTTATAAGTCCCACAGTGGGGACATTTACACTCTCACAGCAAAAGTAAGGAGGCAAAACATTTAATATAAGCATGCATAAAACATTAGAGATGGAAATTACAATTTACAAAGGTGGACAACAATAGGTAGAGTAACAGTATTTAAAAAATAAATAATAATAAGTGTAGCATGGAAAAGTAGTGTGAATGCAATACATACATAAATTCTATCTTGTGTGTTGATGCAAGATTACACAACAAATGTATCCTTAAAATGACCTCTTTATGGAGATATATTATTGTATACATTATTTAGAATATAGTTTGGAGCAAGAATCTCTACATGAGTTTTGGCTACAGAATAAATGAATACATATTCACCCACAGGATGGACTGCGGATGTGACAGCTCTTTGCACGTCAGATTGAAGTAAAGTTGTTCATTCAGATCATGTAGACAAGTATTTTCAGGCACATGACGTGTTTGTAACTTTATCTTGTACTCTTTTGGTTATTGAGCACAGGATACACCGGTGTTGTCGTTGTAAAGCAGTCTTGCGTAAATGCAAAACAGCCAGCTATCTGTCTGTGAGTTTCCAGGTGAAAGTTGTGTACAGCCCACAGGTGTAGCTGTGTGCATGCCCTGGGTCTGGGCGAGACTTTAGGTCAACTTGCGTCCCTTTTTGCGATGTGACATACTCACAAAAGCATGCCATTGTTTATAGGAGAAATATTTTGGTTGGGGGGGGAGGGGGGGGAGAGAATGCAAAGCTGTTTCCTGCTCAAGGGGTCGCTTAACAATGGTCACCACCTTGGAACAGTTGGTGGTTTTATCTGCAAGTCACTTCTGAGGAGCTAGGATGTTGAAAGAATGGCCTAGAAAAGAGAAAGGGGAACAAATAAAGTTTTGACACAATAGAGAACATGCAGTTCTGTGGGTGAGTAGGATGGGAGACAATGGGAGGCCAGAAGCGGACATTGTATAAGGCTCAAAAAGGCAAGAATTTGAGAAGTCGTCCAGTAACTAATAACATGGTGATATGAGTGTATGTAATGCTTGGCACAGGGATAAGTTTAAACACAGCTATGCACCTGTGATTACCTGTGTGTCACTTTGTGTAACCTTCAATTTATTTGGGCATGTGTCCAGTTCAGTGTGTCTCTTCACAGCTGTGAGGACAAACCTGAGTGTAAATATTGAATGGCTGGTGTATGTGGTGAGTGAATATTCCTCCGTGCGTCACATTCGCAACTGATCCTGTTAGGTGGCCTTTTGTTTTTCTATGCTGCGCAACAAGCTGTGCTGACTGCGTGTTTAGTTTTCCACATCAAGGCTTGGAATGCATGTAGAAGATAACACTCAATGTCAAAACAAACAATTTCCAGGATGCACCCTATCCCCGTCAACTTCTTGATCAATAATTAATCTGCTAACATCACTGTCTTTCTCTGCCTCATTTCAGATCAAAGCAGTGGATGCAACTACGCTCCATTCGTAGAAGAAAGGTGGAAGAGTGGGAGAGGCTCTAAAGAGGACCAGCTGACCTCTGGTGATCACACCTCTGCCAACATTGCCCCCAAATCCAGCCTGAAGCGCACCATGTCGCTCGGCACGTTTCAGCTCATGCAGACCCTCAAGAACTCTCCGGCTGCGCTACGTCGCCGCTTTCGCCGCGACCGCACAGAGTCTCTATCCCACGGAGACCCTCTCTTTAAGGTCCACTACCTGGGCACGGAGAAGATCTTCTCTCTAGACCGAGAGCAGGCCCAGGACGCTATTAGCCACCTGCTGGAAGGTGTTTCAAACAGGAAGAAGCTCAGCAAAGATCACGCCCTGGTGGTGCGGCCGAGATACGTGGAGGTCAAGGAGCTGAGTACAGGTCGGCAGCTGACGAAGACGTACCTGCAAGACATCGCGTACTGTGCCCAATGCCCAAACCTGCCCAATGTCTTCCTGTACATCTGCAAGCACCAGGGGCAGCAGCTGCAGTGCCGGGTGTTCTGGTGCAGCCGGGCGGAGCGGGCGCGGGACATGACGGCGTGTCTGGCGCATTCTTTCCAACGAGCGCTGAGCGACTTCCAGCAGGAGGGGTCGGCCGCGCCGCAGCCCGGAGAGGGGAAGGGGAAACTGGCAGAGGAGTCGGTGAACTCCCCCGCCAACACCAAGAGCTGCACGCTACCTGCCAGTCTGGGAAAAGGTGAGACTGAAACACTCATTTCAAAAAATATATATTTTCATTATGGGATTTTAGGGTAGCTTCTAGACTAGTTGCTGTTTAAACTTGTTAGTGCTGCTTCTGGTGTGTGTTGCTGACGTACGTAACAGTAAATGTAAAACCTTGACTATGACACTTTAAAGGTTAACACACTATTGAGGCTTCTTGGATGTTCATAAGTAACATTTATACAAGTTTCATTTGCAGCTGCTAAGCTAACACCACTGACTCATCCCTCTCTGTCTGTTTCTTTTCAGTTCGCTGGAAGAAGAGGGGCTCTGTGTCTCGCAGAGCCATCACGAGAAGAGGGTCTGCCTCTGACAGCTGGAACTGAACCCACGCTTTTTACCCTTACGTAACAAATGGGACCACATTTACCTGACAACAAACTCAAGGACAACAGCACTGACGGGAGCGACTACAAGACAGAAGGGAGGACAAAGAGGATAAGAGGGGGAAGAGGAGAAAGTCCATATTTGGATGAAGGAGGAAAGGATGTCGCCATAACCAGTGAGCGTACGGACTTGAAGGTTTTTCGACGCAGCAAAGTCGTCTGTTGACTTTTGCAAGAGTGGCGTCCAATGTAGCACAAAAAGCTGTTGCCTTTGTTCAGCTGTCAACAGCTATGTGAGGACTTGTGACTGGCTGCAAGCCATTTAGGGAGCAGACTGCTTCATTTCCGGGCCTCTGTTTTTGGACGGCTTGTTTGTTTTTGAAGAGTCTACTTGATGCTTTAGCCGCCAAAGAGTTTGATCTGTCGGAAAATAGACTTTTGGCCACAGAGACGACCAAAAACTGGAAAAAGACGACGAGAGCTTTCGTTGAAGGCAGATTTTTATTTATGAAATTTGTGACAGGTCATGATTTATTTTTATTATTATTTTAACCATGTGGCAGGTTTCTCATCTTTGTATTTTATTCGGATGAACAAAACACCCTTTTTTAATTTACAGTATGAGAGTTTCGGACAAGGGTATATAGATGTCAGAGGGAAACCACAGGCGTACAAGTAAAGATCATTTATGGTTTGAAATGTTGTACTTTCATTAGAATTAGACATCCAAACAGATCAAATGTAATCAACTGCTTTGTTGTCAGTAACTTGGAAAACATAGACCCCAGTATAAGCTTTAGGGTCAACAAATCCTTCCTTTTACAGCAGCGTCCTTCCAAAAAAAACGGATCCTAACCGTCCACTGCGCTGAATTATTTGCATTCATGTGGGAAAACACACACTCAGCCATGACTTGCGGGTTTGTGTGCGGACACTGGGAACGCTCCCATCTGGAGCCTCGGTGTGGAATGCCCGGCCGTGCACCTGCATTCCAAACGTGGAGGAAATTGGAGAAACGTCTAACCATGACTTTGCATATCGAGCAGCCTCGTCACAATGTGCCGTTTTTTACGCCGAGTCGTTCTCATTACCGAAGCCATAAAAGGGGCCCCTGCCTGCTTAATTAAAAGTGACGGTTACAGACATGGATATGTGCAGTATTGCGTAACGGCCTCTCATGAAGGTGATTAGTGTCTTACGGTTTACAAATGAGAGATTTAAGGATTAGTGGCACACCCTGAGGCTACCATTTTGTGTTTTCTGACCAAAACTAAGCTAGGTGTTTTGACTGATGTGCCACAAAGTTTTAATCGGGTTATTTTAACATTTTGTACTTGTGATGTATCTTTTTATTTACAAAATGCGCAACCCCCCCCCCCCATCTCACAAAAGGGGTTAAAGTGCCTGTTTCAAGGCGTATTTTTATCAGTGTACTGTTTTTATGACATTGTACATATTTAATGAAATATGTATTTTATGGAATATTAAAACTTTTTATACAACACTCGTTTGTCTGTACATGTTTGTTTTCATACAGCTGTGATGAATGTTTAACCAGTTTGAACTTCTGCAGCTTTGACCCTGATAAATATGTCTGTTTTGCTCCTTTTTAAAATGTTATATTTGGCCTGGGAGAGCAGGGCAAGACATCCAGAGAGGTCCTGGGATGTTTAATCTCAGTCATGTGACAGTTCCCAGGGTTATTTCACCTCAAAAATACATGTGACTACCTTCTAACTGAGCACAGATACAACTGGAGTGTGTAGCCTTGAAAGAAATTAGACAAACAATGACCTAAATACAGACCCTTTTGAAGAGATTTCACACAGTTAAACCCTATATGCTGTATTTGTCTCTACTAAAAGTCGGTTAAAGTGCACCAATGATATCTCACTTAAGATTAAAGTCACTCCTCTCCAGAAGAGCCCTCCCTTTGTCGCTGTAACTCCAGCAGGGATTGGACGTGAAGACGCCTCAAAGGCTTCACCTCTTCCACCACTGAAAGGAGAAAACTATCATCAAAATCAAGCCATCCCTTCGTAATGTAGCTAAACAGCATCACCTGCTGGCTAAAATGATAAAAGTAAATACAAATTTCTCTTCGTCTTTCCAGAAGCTTGTACCTTTGTCATAGTGCAACTCGTCCCGGTTACCGTAAACCACATACGTATCCAGGAAGTTAAGGAGAGCGCCTGTGACCAGGAAGCGGTCGGGGAAGGGAAGGTTTTGGATGTAGCGCATGTCCAGAGCGAAGGGGTTGGAGGGAGAGGGGACGGTGCACAGACACACAAGCTCGCTGATGACATCCCACACGCGAATACCTGTGAAAAAACAACAGAAAACACATTTGTTAAATTGTAATCCATTTATAAAGCAGAGATTTAATAGTCTTTCATCACCTGGAGCTTTTTCCACCACACTAATCCACACCAAACAGTAGTCTTGAGGTTGAGCTAAGACATCTGCGTCTGATTTAGCTCATGGAAAAACTTGTAATTATTGAATCTGTGCGGTTAAACAATAGCTCTCTTTCGTGTTTGGATTCCTCACATTGTTTCCATACCTCGCGTCTGCCAGTCTGAGATGGACTTGAGTTTCATGGGCGTGTCTTTGACCATGGAGTCGGTGCCCCCGATGTTAACCAGGCGCTCGTGATTGGAGCGGATCCAGGCGTAGGGCCGTCCGTACTTCACGTAGCCGGCCAGTAGGAACAGAGTGCAGTTCACCTCCTGTTGGGGGGGGGGGGGGGGAGAGTCAAAGCGGTCACACTTTAGAGAGGGTTAGTGGGTGGAAAAGTAAAAGACCAGGTAAAGCACTCACAGGAACCGCTATCTCTCTCTCACTGGGGGAGGCTGGGAGGAGATGCTCCTCACTGCAAGCCTCCCTGAGGACAGAGACATTTCAACCAATTATTAGTATAAGGAGAGATGATCATGTGATATAAAAATACATGTAAATAATGACTTTTTTCACCATTATTTTTGCTCGACCGACCCTTTAAACATTAATCGATTAACGAAATGTTACATTTTCTGCCGTCTACCAAAAGATTATTAGCGATTAGAGGCAAATTCCTACGAAATGGAACCATTCTTCTTGCCGTGAACTGTGACCTAATTGTTGGCCACATAAAAACGGTGTCACTATTTTCATTTTACAATAAACATAAAAACAATTATGCCTCAGATAACCATGTAGTCATCATTACAAACTCACCTGTTCACCATGGCCTTTGACCCCTAACCCATCACACCATGGCCTTTGACCCCTAATCCATCACACCATGGCCTTCGACCCCTAACCCATCACACCATGGCCTTTGACCCCTAACCCATCACACCATGGCCTTTGACCCCTAACCCATCACACCATGGCCTTTGACCCCTAACCCATTACACCATGGCCTTTGACCCCTAACCCATCACACCATGGCCTTTGACCCCTAACCCATCACACCATGGCCTTTGACCCCTAACCCATCACACCATGGCCTTTGACCCCTAACCCATCACACCATGGCCTTTGACCCCTAACCCATCACACCATGGCCTTTGACCCCTAACCCATCACACCATGGCCTTTGACCCCTAACCCATCACACCATGGCCTTTGACCCCTAACCCATCACACCATGGCCTTTGACCCCTAACCCATCACAGTCCCCATGCTTCCACTCCTACTGCTATTTATTTAATTTGTTACTTTATTATTTGCCCCTGTTGTTTGTTTGTTTGTTTGTTTACTATGTAAAGCGGCCTTGGGTCCCTTGAAAGGCGTTACACAAATGTCATCAATTATTACTATTATTATTATTATTATGTAAATCACTGTATGTCTTAACATATTGTTTGTTTTGTTTACAACTAACACAAAATGATGCACCAAAAGACGTCAGTAAAATGTTACCACATACACTGATTCTCATTTTCAGATTTGAAATCACCCAATGACATCATATACATATTTCTATTTCCAGGCGTGTAATCAATCACCTGACAGTGTGTGGCTGCGTCTTGGTGTGTGTGTGTGGCGGAGGCTCTCGGGGGCCCGGAGGTTCCTCTCCAGGCAGGGGAGAGCTGCCTCGACTGCCCAGGCTGGGGGAGCTGCTGCTGGGGGAGACATCGCTGCTGTTACAGCTGCTGATGGAGGAGAGGGAGGAGGCTCTGGAGACCACGAAGCCTGGAGAGCGAAAACCCTGCAGGACGGGGGGGGGGACAGGTGGGGGGGGGGGGGGGGGGGAACACGGTTATAACTGCATGTAGTTGTTAGTGTGACTTCTGTGGTCATTTTGTCTATTTTCATTTAGTTTTGTTCACTTTGTGGTCATTTTGTTCCTCTTTATAATAATGTGTTGGTCTCTGTAATTGAGTTTGTCTTTTTGTGTCTCTTCTTGGTTATTATCGGTGTCTTTCTAGTTGTTTTTCCCCTTGTCATGGTCATTTTGAGTCTCTTTGTGGCACTTTGTGTCTCCTTGCAGCTGTGTTGGTTTCTTTATAGTCTTATTACTTTTCTAGGTGGTCATTTTGGCTCTCTATGTGGTTAGTAAACATCTCTTTGAGTGAAATTCTGTAATGGATCCATGGCTGTAGGCCTACTGTCTGGATTCTACAAAAACGAACCAGATCCTCGTTAACGACGGTCAGCAGCAGCTCCTCTTTCCCTCTGAGCCAAGGCTGGAAGTATTTAAATCCCTGCAACACAAACACACATGTTATTTGCAAAAGCAAAGAAGTCTGATCATGTTTACTCATCTCGGCATGCATGTGCACTCACTCACCTGTAAAGACCCGAGTAAGGCCAGGTCATTCAGAAAGTGCTGCAGCTTCCTCCTCTGCTCCCTCTCTCGTTTCTATTGACATGCAAAAGACAGATATCATATTAAAGTTATTAACAATAAGGATTAAATTGACCTTAACTCTGACCTAGAATTCTCCCATCATCCCTCTCCCAGAATAGTATCCTAGCAACACATGCAGGCAGCACCCCTTCAGTATCCTGTATCGACAGTAAAGACTTCACTCGTTATAATAAACGATGATCAATAGGGATGAATGCATTAATATTGTGTATTTGTAAAGCGCTTTGAGCATCTGGAAAAGCGCTATAATAAATGTAAGGAATTATTATTATAATTAATATTAAAGTATGACGTGACATTGCATGCAACAAAATGGATGCACTCGATTCGATTTTAATATAATCTCTCAATTCCGACATTACATTTGGTAAAATATGAAGGAAACTCACACTGTTGCTGCTCATTTTGTACCAAACTGCATATAACGTCGTCTGCTTCCGGTGCGATCATGGCGTTTTTATATGCAAACATTTAAACCTTACATTATGCTGTTTATAAGGGATTATTTCCCTGGTTAGCTGCTACGGTTGTACACAGACAGAAAGGTTGTGTGTCTCCTCGGGTGTTTCCTTCTCGATGCTCGCTGTCGCAGAGTGAAATTGGTTTGGTGTTGGGCATGGTACGCCTCTAGCGGCCATGATGGAGTACTACCGTTCAATTCTGATATCTAAAAGCCAAGAGAAGAGAATGTGTAAATAATGCCATAAGCATGTTAATTCTGTATGGTTTACAATTTATTGGACTAAATATGAGTCTATTTTTGGGCCCCAGAGTCATAGGTCTAACGGCATATATTTAGTAAAGTATAGTATACTTATTTAAAGCATGGTTTGACAATTTTTGGAAAAAGTTTACGCTACTGTACCCTTGTCTATCATTCATGTTTCTGTTCATGCTGTATGCCATGCCCGTAATTCATTTAAACAAATAAAATGTATTAAAAAGCATCATAAAGCAGCAACAAGAATGAGTGACACCTCCCTGGTGTAATTTCACAGAAGGCCCAATTTATTAAATTGACCAATTTGAACGATAATCTCACTCTAAATTTTCTTTAGAAGTTTATTCACTCTATTGAACTATTAGGTTCCACATCCTGTTTGGATTTCTCATTGGTAATTTGTAAAAAATCCCAATTATCCAACAAACGTTATTGTAGTGCTGGTTGGCTATAGTAGGAAAGTAGGACAATGAACGAAATTATCAAAAATAATCACTTTATTCAGAGTCAATCAACAGGGAATCAATCAATCAGTCAACAAATTAACAAAATGTGCAAAAAGAAGCATTTATATACACTGTGTATAAATACTGTTAAAAGCTTTGTCATTCGCTATCTTCACGGAAGACAGGTCAGCCTAAAAGTTCTTGGAGGCAAAGTGAACGAAGAAGGTCCTGATCTCCTTGGGAGAGATGGTCACATTGAACGCACCATCACCGCCACTCGGACACATGGTGCTGTCTGAGGTAAAGAAAACACAAACAAGGAATGGGAAACATGTTTAAAATCCACATATTAATATAGGTTTATTTTTAAATATTTCAATGCCAGTGTTAAAAGACTTCTCACTTGATTCTAAGTTATCCTCAGTCTTCCACGTCCACCTCTGCAGCGTGGTGATGTCCCAGGTTCCTGTGAGAGAACGCTCCTCCAGCCCTTTTACTTCCCCTATGCCCTGCAGGACATCCTGTTATAAAGGGAAGAAATCATGTAAGTTCTATATTTAAATGATAAATATGTAAGGCTTTCCACTTGCGAGTATATGTGGCGCACCTTCAAGTTTATGGTGACTGGCTTCGAGAGCTCTGGGTCTTCTCCCTCCTCAAAGAGATGCATGATCCTCAACAGGACTCGATCGTAGTCCGGCTCTGAGTGCAAGTCCTTACCTAGATTTATGTAAAACAAAATACACTTTTCAGAATGTAATCCCTAGGAAAAATCAAAGGAAAAAAAAACAACCTGTGACCTGACCTGAGTTTATGTGGCCGAGGTGAACGGCATGATTAGGGCTGTAGTTCCACCCGGGGACACTGAAGCTGAGCAGGTGGAGGTTGGGCGGCAGGACCACCGAACGCACCGGAGAAAGTCGTCTGGGTTTCTTCTCATGCCATGGCTTCTCTGAGGATACAAGAGACAAAATATAAGTGCTAAAAAAACACAAAAATCAAAGGTTTTGAGCCCTAAATAGCTGAGCTCTCACGGGGTTGGTCTATGGGCGTGATGACAGGGGGGTGCTGCAGCTCGATGGCCTCCCTCTGCTGGAGCCTGGCGGCGGTGCTGATGGAGCCCAGCATCACCCACAGGGCGGGCCGCACCACCGAGCTGTCGTTCAGGGTCAGGTTGTAGCCCAGGTTCAAGGGGAGGTTGTTCCAAAGACGCCGATGGAGCATGACCTGAGGAGGAAAACACCCAGGATGTTAAAGGTCCCCAATGATAATTAAAGCAAAAAAGTTAAAAACATTATATTTTTGTTATCCTTTTTATTATATTTTTGTTTAACCTGGCAATTTCAGTTTAGTTTTACTTTAATATAATTTGTAAGCTCTAATTTACAGCCATATGTTTCACTTCCTGTTATTTGTGTATTACCCCAAATATAAATAACATATATTCCCTTTTACCTCCAGTTGTCCGTTGGCCTGGCTGGACACACCGTGAGCTCTGTCGCTGAGCAGCACCAGTCTGCTGAGCTCATCCTCAATGTACGCTGCCCGGACCATGGGGAAGTAATTCTGCAAAATACACATTATACACACATTATGCCACAGATTCCAGTATTCCCATTATACCAGAATTGCCTTATACATCCAGGAACTTACTCTGGCTACTGTGTTGTTGATGAACTCCCTGTATGTCCTCTTCATCATCTGATAGCCGTTATCATCGGTGTACAGGGTCCGGTTGTTCTTCAGGGAGGAGCTGGTTCTGAGCACCACCTCTGTGTTGAGGTGCAGCGGACCCACCCAGTACCTCTGCTCCAGCCTGTGGCACTGCAGCCTGCTCCCAAAGCATTCTGGGACTCGGGTTATGATGGAGTAAGTGTAGTCTTTATCACCTTCATCTCTAGAAGTTGAAATATATTAAAGAGGACCTATTATGCAAAATCCACTTCTTCATGTCTCTTCTACATCAACATGTGTCCCCTCTTCTTCATGTCTCTTCTACATCAACATGTGTCCCCTCTTCTTCATGTCTCTTCTACATCAACATGTGTCCCCTCTTCTCCATGTCTCTTCAACATCAACATGTGTCCCCTCTTCTTCATGTCTCTTCTACATTAACATGTGTCCCCTCTTCTTCATGTCTCTTCTACATCACCATGTGTCCCCTCTTCTTCATGTCTCTTCTACATCAACATGTGTCCCCTCTTCTTCATGTCTCTTCTACATCAACATGTGTCCCCTCTTCTTCATGTCTCTTCTACATCAACATGTGTCCCCTCTTCTTCATGTCTCTTCTACATCAACATGTGTCCCCTCTTCTTCATGTCTCTTCAACATCAACATGTGTCCCCTCTTCTCCATGTCTCTTCTACATCAACATGTGTCCCCTCTTCTCCATGTCTCTTCAACATCAACATGTGTCCCCTCTTCTCCATGTCTCTTCTACATCAACATGTGTCCCCTCTTCTTCATGTCTCTTCTACATCAACATGTGTCCCCTCTTCTCCATGTCTCTTCAACATCAACATGTGTCCCCTCTTCTTCATGTCTCTTCTACATTAACATGTGTCCCCTCTTCTCCATGTCTCTTCTACATCAACATGTGTCCCCTCTTCTTCATGTCTCTTCAACATTAACATGTGTCCCCTCTTCTCCATGTCTCTTCTACATCAACATGTGTCCCCTCTTCTTCATGTCTCTTCTACATCAACATGTGTCCCCTCTTCTTCATGTTTCTTCTACATCAACATGTGTCCCCTCTTCTTCATGTCTCTTCTACATCAACATGTGTCCCCTCTTCTTCATGTCTCTTCTACATCAACATGTGTCCCCTCTTCTCCATGTCTCTTCTACATCAACATGTGTCCCCTCTTCTTCATGTCTCTTCTACATCAACATGTGTCCCCTCTTCTTCATGTCTCTTCTACATCAACATGTGTCCCCTCTTCTCCATGTCTCTTCTACATCAACATGTGTCCCCTCTTCTTCATGTCTCTTCTACATCAACATGTGTCCCCTCTTCTTCATGTCTCTTCTACATCAACATGTGTCCCCTCTTCTCCATGTCTCTTCTACATCAACATGTGTCCCCTCTTCTTCATGTCTCTTCTACATCAACATGTGTCCCCTCTTCTTCATGTCTCTTCTACATTAACATGTGTCCCCTCTTCTCCGTGTCTCTTCTACATCAACATGTGTCCCATCTTCTTCGTGTCTCTTCTACATCAACATGTGTCCCCTCTTCTCCGTGTCTCTTCTACATCAACATGTGTCCCCTCTTCTTCATGTCTCTTCTACATCAACATGTGTCCCCTCTTCTTCATGTCTCTTCTAAATCAACATGTGTCCCCTCTTCTTCATGTCTCTTCTACATCAACATGTGTCCCCTCTTCTTCATGTCTCTTCTACATCAACATGTGTCCCCTCTTCTTCATGTCTCTTCTACATCAACATGTGTCCCCTCTTCTCCATGTCTCTTCTACATCAACATGTGTCCCCTCTTCTTCATGTCTCTTCTACATCAACATGTGTCCCCTCTTCTTCATGTCTCTTCTAAATCAACATGTGTCCCCTCTTCTTCATGTCTCTTCTACATCAACATGTGTCGTCTCTTCTTCATGTCTCTTCTACATCGACATGTGTCCCCTCTTCTTGATGTCTTTTCTACATCAACATGTGTCCCCTCTTCTTCATGTTTCTTCTACATCAACATGTGTCCCCTCTTCTTCATGTTTCTTCTACATCAACATGTGTCCCCTCGTCTTCATGTCTCTTCTACATCAACATGTGTCCCCTCTTCTCCATGTCTCTTCAACATCAACATGTGTCCCCTCTTCTTCATGTCTCTTCTACATCAACATGTGTCCCCTCTTCTTCATGTCTCTTCTACATCAACATGTGTCCCCTCTTCTTCATGTCTCTTCTACATCAACATGTGTCCCCTCTTCTCCATGTCTCTTCTACATCAACATGTGTCCCCTCTTCTCCGTGTCTCTTCTACATCAACATGTGTCCCCTCTTCTCCGTGTCTCTTCTACATCAACATGTGTCCCCTCTTCTTCATGTTTCTTCTACATCAACATGTGTCCCCTCTTCTTCATGTCTCTTCTACATCAACATGTGTCCCCTCTTCTCCATGTCTCTTCTACATCAACATGTGTCCCCTCTTCTTCATGTCTCTTCTACATCAACATGTGTCCCCTCTTCTTCATGTCTCTTCTACATCAACATGTGTCCCCTCTTCTTCATGTCTCTTCTACATCAACATGTGTCCCCTCTTCTCCATGTCTCTTCTACATCAACATGTGTCCCCTCTTCTCCATGTCTCTTCTACATCAACATGTGTCCCCTCTTCTTCATGTCTCTTCTAAATCAACATGTGTCCCCTCTTCTTCATGTCTCTTCTACATCAACATGTGTCCCCTCTTCTT